AACTTCAGCCAGACACTAAATAATAAGCCAAAGAAGCGCAGATGTTATAAATCAGAAACAAAATCAGAAAAGACACTGGACCCAAAATGCTGACTCTGCTTTCTCTCCACAGATGCTGCCAGACCTGCTAGGTTTCTCCAGCGATTTCTGTGTTTGTTCCAGCCAGACACTGTGACAGTTCAGTTATCACTGTTGAGTTTTCAGCACTTGATTTAAACACACATATCCCTCCAGAAAACTACAGAAACACAATAAGACCAGTGACCTTTCTAACCATGAGATCATCACCTGACCATTACTGTTCAATAGAGCAAACATTAAATGTTCTTTTTTCTCCATTTCATTTTGACTAATTCAGCAAATCTTAGGTTACTATCTACAATGGTAGAGTGTATTTCTCCTAATTAACCTCAGCTCAATAAATATTGTAAATAAAAACAAAACACTTCAGAGGTTGGAAAAATTCTGAATAAGAGTCATACTTGGCTCAAAACATTGACGCTGTTTCCATTTCTAAGATGCTGCCAGACCTGCTGAGCATATCAAGCACTTTCTGATTATTGTATTCTTATTGATTGGCTGTCATCTATGTTACAACAAACCTTGTCTCTTTGATATTTTGGTTAAAAAAATTTGCTTGGATTCTGACAATTTTGGAGTGAAGGAACAATTTTCTTCATGTTGTAACTGGGGCATTGCATATGCAGTTAACTTTTTGAAAGTTTTATGAAGTGACTTTCGTTCATTTTAGTATTTACTAATTGTACCCTCCATAGTTTAAAGCTGGAATGTAATCACGGTAACTGGCTGATGAGAGAAGAAATGGTGAGATATGCTGTACCTGTTCATCATTCCCCTATGTTCTGGCTCCCACTAGTTGGGGGATGGCACAGTGGTTTATAATTAGCACTGCTGCCTCACAGCGCCAGGGACCAAGGTTCGATTCCACCCTCGGGTGACTGTCTGTGTGGAGTTTGCACATTCTCCCTGTGTCTGTGTGGGCTTCCTCCAGGTGCTCTGGTCTCCTCCTACAGTCCAAAGATGGGTGCAGGTTGGGTGGATTGGTCATACTAAATTATCTGTGCTGTCTGGGGATATGCAGCCATGAGAAATGCAGGGTTACAGGGACAGTGTTGGGGGGTAGGTCTGGATGGGATGTCCTTCGGACAGGTGGTGTGGATTTGATGGGCTGAATGGCCTGCTTCCACACGGTGGGGATTCTGTAATGATTCTATGGACCCACCCTACCCACTGCATCAAACACTGCAAATCCTTAGCAATACATCAATACTGTCAGAACCTGAACATCCCAAACAGTCCCAAATGGTTATCGGGTCACAATGCACGCTAAGATCCTCTAAACTGGAAAACGTAGATCCTAAAACCTTACTTTACTCGCACATCCCTGTACTACATTTTCAGTGCTCCCATATCCCAGTAAATAACCAAATATTTACAATGTGGAGTTGGGAGGGGAGCTATCTTTGGACACAGTGGCACCAAAATATACTGTGAATGCTGTAGGTGTCACTAAAAAAATGCCCAATTTGAGGCACACACTAGTCTGTCTCATACAGAATCACCAGATAATGCAATTAACCAGCAATTTCCTGTTTCTGTTTCTGATTTCCAGCATCTACAGTTCTTTTGGTTTTTTTGTTTAGGAAAAAAAACCCCTGCTATCCTTATCTGCTCTGGCATTTAGAATTCCTACAGTGTGGAAGCAAGCCATTCACCTCGGTGAGCTCCTCCTGTATCCCAGTTACCCTGCACTTCCCATTGCTAATCCACCCAGCCTGTACACTATGGGCAATTTAGCATGGCTAATCCACCTAAACTGCACATCTTTGGACTGTCGGAGGAAACCGGAGCACTATGAAGAAACCCACGCAGACACGGGGAGAATGTGCAAACACCGCAGAGACAGTCGCCCGAGGCTGGAATTGAACCCGGGTCCCTGGTGCTGTGAGGCAGCAGTGCAAACTGTGCCGCCCAGTTTTACGTGACTCCAGACCCAGAGTAAAGTTGCTGACTGTTAAATGCCATCTGAAATGGCTTTTAAACAAATAAAGCTTTTAAGGATTTAAGGGTCACTTAAGGGTTAAGATTTTAAGGGTCACTGGACCTGAAACGTTAACTCTGTTTTTTCCTTCATAGATGCTGCCAGACCTGCTGAGCTTTTCCAGCAACCTTGTTTTTGTTCCTGATTTACAGCATCCGCAGTTCTTTTGGTTTTTATGAAGTTTTTAAGGATGGTCAGTAAACGCTGGCTTTACCAGTGGCATAACCATCACGCTTGCAAATGGCAAGACGAATTCTCCAGGTACCTGCTCTGGCTTTTTATATTGAGTTTTCTCACTGTCTTGTTTCTTATGGGAGTTGATTGAGGTAAAATGCTGAATAGTAAAGGAGCTGAGTTGAGCCGTAAACAAGGCAGTAAACTAGTAATAATTCCCCTTCCTTAGCAAATCACTGCAACCTACTGAGAAACCTGCCACACTACTTGTGAAAAGCAGAAAAGATGGAGCAAGGTGCTCCCAATGTCGAGATTGGCCTTGCTGGACTTCTCATTGAATTCCGTTACCAATCTCACCATAGCCCACGCTGCTCAGACTCCGATAAGATTTTACTCATTTTATGTGCCCGGACTAGGCCAAAGACAATGTCTTTGAGCAGGAAACATTCAGAGAAATAAACAGAATGGCCCTCAATGTAGAAACTTCAATTAGTCTTTTTGATGCCAATTCCCTACAAATTTTGAAGGAAAGCTCAAAAATCTTAACTTGTCATGCTTGCTGTCCTTCATTATATGTATTTTCTTCTCTCTATTCATTTGTGGGATGTGAGCATTGCTGGCTGGCCAGCATTTCCTGCCTATCCCTAGTTGCCCTTGAGAAGGTGGTGGTGAGTTGCCTTCTTGAACCACCGCAGTCCTCCTGCTGTAGGTTGACCCACGATACATGAAATGACTCACTGCAAACACAAGACAACCACAAGTGAGATCGTTCCAATCAAATCACCAGATGCCAACTTGTTTGCTATTGTGACTAGTTGACCACTTAACAAGTTGGTCACAAAATAAAACAGCAGGTGTGAATCACACATCCTGCAGCTCAGCAGAAGCGGATGGTGAAGTTCACTAAATTGTACCGACACATTAAACCATAAAGCATCCTGCAAATGAATAACATTAACCAGCTTCATTGTTTCTAGCTGCAGCATAAACTCACAAGCCTATCCAAAAGTAAAAAGAAATCACAAAGTTTAACATATGAGATTAAACCAATCCAACTTTTATGCATCCATGACATGGGTAACTTACATCATCAAACTCCTTCTTCCATTGGTCGTCCTCTTCCTGTTATGAGGGGATTTACATAGGTTTCACTTCATCCAAGGTTTGTAAATATTGTTAACGAACCCATTCAGACGCAGCATGATATGCCTGGACATGTAAGACTTGAACTTAGGCCTTTTAAGGACACCAGCACAGCACCACAAAAGCCCTTTCATTTCATTTGTAAGCTTACAATGAGTGTCAAGAGCTATTCCTTCACACAAGCCCCAAAGTCCACCTAATTTGTTTGTCCAATGATGTTCCCTATCTGGGGTTGTTGCAGAGTTGGTGTTCTGTCAAGGATTGAATTTTGACCCAGACCATGCATGTATGACACAAAACCATATTAGGATTAATCACTGATTGGTGGCATTGTCCCATTAAGCTTTTTCTTTGGATAGACTTATGACACAGCTGCATGTTGTATGTTTGCTGTGCACACATTTCAAGCATAGAACATGACATTAGATAACCCAGTACATTATAGAAATAAAGGGACTGAATTAATATTCTAAATTATAAAGTCAGAAATCACACAACACCAAATTATAGTCCAACAGGTTTATTTGAAAACACAAGCTTTCAGCAGCGCTCCGTGTGATGGTGTCGTGTGATTTCTGACCTCATCCTACCCAGTCCAACACTGGCACCTCCACACCTAAATTATAAATATATGTTTTTGATTTGCATTGGTGCACTTCAGAAAGTCAAAGTTGCAATATATTATGCAGATTTTTGCTTTTCAACAGAGGCAAATAGCATTTTTAAAAATTCACTCATGGCATTTATTGCCCATCCCTTTTTGCTCCTGAGAAGGTGATGGTGAGCTGTCTTGAACCTTCTTGAAGTGATGAGCAAAATCGCTTGTTGAGTAGCAGCCCACTGATGTGAATGTGTTTCTTACGTGACCAACACTGACAGAATATTGTAGCACAGGGTTAACGTTACTGGACTAGAAATCCAGAAGAAAGACTGATCTTCCTGAGTATCCCACCACAGCAACAAAGAATTTAAAATCATCGAGTTTGTAATTTTTTTTTATTCTTTCACGGGATGAGGGCGTCACTGGCCGGGCAGCATTTATTGCCCATCCCTAATTGCCCAGAGGGCTGTTAAGAGTCAACCACATTGCTGTGGCTCTGGAGTCACATGTAGGCCAGACCAGGTAAGGAAGGCAGTTTCCTTCCCTAAAGAGCATTATTGAACCAGATGGGTTTTTCTGACAATCGACAATGGATTCCTGGTCATTATTAGATTCTTAATTCCAGATATTTTTATTGAATTCAAATTCCACCATCTGCCATGGTGGGATTTGAACCCAGGTCCCCAGAACACTATCTGGGTCTCTGGATTAACAGTCCAGCGATAATACACTAGGCCACAAAAAGCTAGCCTCATCAACCATGAAGCAATTTGATTCACTAATGTACTTTAAGGAGAGAATTCCTCTTTACCTGGTCTGGCCTATATGTGACTCCAAACCACAGCAAAGTGGTTGACTTCCACCTCCTCTCTGTAATGACTGAATAAGACTCAAGGTCACTCAAGGTTAATCAGGGTTAGACAAATGTTGGCTTCTTCAGCAATGCACACATCTCAAGAATAGATAAGAATAAAATAATGCATATCAACGACTTTTCAACAAAATGTAAGAATCCCACAAGAAAGAATATTTATAATCGTGCTGCACATTGGAAAGGAAAATGAATTCAAATTGATTTTTAGAGCCTTCATTCCTCAGGCAGATCATCACAAGGTTGTAAGAATGTGTTGCATTCCAAATGGAGAGCTTACAACTGAACTGAGTTTTAATTAGTTCTTGGGATGTTACCTACTGGGGGCAAGACCACATTGACTACTCTGAGAAATGGCAAGCCTTTCTCCTTGAGTTGCTGCTGGCTCTGTGATAACGGTTCTCCTATTGAGATATAAGGTAGAGAATTCCAGGATTTCAAAGCAGTTACAATGAAGGAAGGAGACTGATTGCTGAGTCAGGTAGTACATGCCTTAGTGTAGAACTTGGAAGTGATGGCAGTCCACTCACATTTCTAATCTGGTCTGCAGTGGTAAAAGTTACATGACTGAGTGGCGATGTTGAAGTGGGGGTTGGGAATGACAAGTTGTAGATCGTACATATTGTAGCTACAGTGCATTGGTCAATACTGAGTCCAGTAACAGGCAACAATGAAGTAGTATGGTTTGTATTGAGTGTTTTCAAGATTTCAGTGTTTTTCTTTGCAGCTGCAATCTTCCAGGAACATGAAGTCTAACACAGCATGTCCTTGACCAGCAATCTTTGGTCTATGGTCTGTCTTTGACATATCAGTAGTTAAGCAGAGTTCCCACCCAGCCTCTGCTGCTAACACTCAGGCACATTCACCACCGAGGGAGAAAAGCTCTAAAAATACAGAGCTGGGTTTGAAATCAGTTGTAACATCTTGAATTTTAGTTTCCCCAAACAGTTTGGCAGCGGGATGCCATAAAAAACAAGGAGGTGAGAATCTGATTGTCCTAATCTATTGCAAAGAGTTGATTTTAGATGCCTGTCATATGCTGGCACACAGACATTGATAACTTCACTGATAACTGCAAAAGTGTGCCGTTCAAAACACGCCGTTGTTAACTCTAGGAGACCAGATTTTATCCATAGATTTATTTGAAAGAAAAGTTTGAATATGTACACACCCACTGGTGAAAGTTTATATTAAATAGACTACTATAGCATATATTTATGATAAAATACTGTGAAGTCTTCAAGCTGAGGTTGTCATTCTCAAACAGTTCCTGGAGAAGTAAATACAGGTTCTAAATCTATGAAAGGGAATGCATATTGTTGAAATGAACTTCTCAAAATGGTGTTAGATGATTTCAATCTGTCATTCTGTATACTTTGTTTAGAATCACTTCAGACTTGCCCTCACCATGATGGTACACATCCAGGATACAGATCACACGTGTATTGTCCAGGTCAGCTGCTGTCTTTATAATCTGATCTATAAGGACGCAACACATAAAAACTCTTAGTGTTTTGGAATGTTGTTCTATAGGACAATCCAAACTCCAAGCAAGCCCCTGAGCATTAAGACACAAATTATAAAATCCTTTTCTAACCGCTTCACCTGAAAAAAAAAGGAATTGTGTTGACATTGGTGCAGGATTTTAATTGATTAAATGAAGAGAAATCAGTTTCCATTGATGGGAGAGTCAGGGACCACTGGACATGGATCTGAGGTGATCAGAAAAAGAACTACAGTTGACATGAGGAGTTTTTGCTTTTACACTACAAGTCGTCATGGTCTTGAATATAAGCTCAGTGGTAGCTTTCAAGAGGGAAATGGATAAATATTCGAAAAAGATTTTCAGAGCTACAGTGAAAGAGTGGGAGAGCCGGACTCATTGGAGAAGTCTTTCAGAGATCTGGCACAGACAAGGTAGACCAAATGACCTCCTTCTTTATAGTAGGTTCTGTTTGTGATAGTGAGTTAAATCAAGTGAGAAACCTTTGGTAGCCATATCTGCAGGTAAGTATTTTCCAATATGTAACACAACCAGGTGGCATGTTGGGTAACAAAATTCCTGTGGGGCACATGCCCACTTTTCTGCCTATTAGTCACACCCTAGTTTTCTGTGCCTACTCCAATGAGACTGTACTTTGTGCCCCAGTGTAACAGAGAAAACTTTGCCATACAGCCACCCCTCACTGCACAGCTAACTGCAGCCTCAATGTCAACTACAACATATCAACACACTGGGCTCTCTCTCTTCAAAACTGCATGGTTAAAATTTTAAACCGGTATGTTCAGTGAAATGGAAGATTTTTCATTGCCAATTTTGACCAGTCGTTTTAATCAACAACATTTTGTGCCCCCTTAAAACTTTCAACTAGTTAAAACATCCCACGATGCTTCACAACTATGTTATCTGACAAAAAAAAAGATGCTCAGTCAGAGGAGATCAGGGCAGGTCGCCAGAAGTTTGATCAAAGGGTTAGGTTTTAAAGAAAAATGTCAGCCCTCATTTTCGAAATCCTTCTGTTACTATCCTACCTTGTTCCAAAAACCTTCCCCTGCTATTCTTTGGAGCTGACTGGCTTCTCAACTTGACTTTTCTCAACTTCACCAACTCTTTCTTTAGGCGGTGCGGTGGCTCAGTGGTTAGCACTGCCGCATCTCAGAGGCAGGGACCCAGGTTCGATTCCAGCCTTGGGCGACTGTCTGTGTGGAGTTTGCACATTCTCTGCGTGGGTTTGCTCCGGTTTCCTCCCACAGTCACAAAGATGTACAGGTTAGGTGGATTGGCCATGCTAAATTGTCCTGTAGTGTCCAGGTATGTGAAGGCTGGGTGGATTAACCATGGGAAAAGCAGGGTTACAAGATCTGGGGAGGTTGCTTCTTGGAGGGTCGGTGCAGACTTGGCGGGCTGAATGGCCTCTTTCTGCACTGTAAGGATTCTATGACCTGTCTTTGAGAGTGTTCTTCATCCCAGCTTTTTGATCATGCTTCCAGCCCTCCTTACCTGCCTGACGACCTCACTTGTTCCTTCATTCCCTTAAAGAAACACAGAGATATTTTCCACTTTTAGTGTTGCTTGGGGAGATCACTGCTTTTGTTCTACATATTCCCAGTTGAGAGCTGGGGGCGGTAGCACTGGGTAGCAATTACAAAATCCCCTTTAGAGCAGGAACTCCGGTTGATGTTCCTTTCCATGCTACTTACCCTCACCCCTGGGAATATCAGTGCTGTGAGAAGCTGAATTCGGGCCTCAGTACGACACTGTTTGTACCTGTCGGAACGCTCACAACAAATCTGTACAGAACTACTATCTTACTGAAACATTACTTTCAATTATTCAATCAGAAGAAAACGATCTGCGCACGTCATATGAAAAGCTTAAAACAAATGCAGAAAAAAGCCAGAGAAACTCAGCAGGATCCGTGGAGAGAAAAAGACTGCACAGCTAACGTTTAAATACGTCCGGAGTCCCTGGAGCAGCAGAGGCTGAGGGGAGACTTGATAGAAGTCTATAAAATTATGAGATGTACGAGATGGTCAGAATCTTTTTCCCAGAGTTGAAATGTCTAATGCATGCATTTAAGGTGAGAGGGGGAAAGTTGAAAGTAGATGTGAGGGGTAGGTTTTCTATTTACACAGAGAGCGGGAGGAGTCTGAAACATGGTGCCAGGGGTGATGGTGGAGGCAGATACAATAGGGGCATTTACGAGACTTTTAGATAAGTACATGAATATAAAAGGAATGGAGGGATATGGACCAAGGGCAGGCAAAAAGGATAAGTTTCATTTGGCATCATGTTCGGCACAACATCGTGGGCCGAAGGGCTTGTTCCTGTGCTGTACTGTCCTATGTTCTATGGAGAAGAATCATTGGATTTGAACCATTAACTCAGTTTCTCTCTCTGTAGGTGCTGCCAGACTTGCTGAGTTTCTCCAGCGTTCTCTATGTTTGTTTCAGATTTTCACCATCCCCAGTATTTTGCCCTTACATAAAAAGTTTCGGCTGAACGTTTGAAACTGGACCGTACTTAGCAAAGAAAGTACAAACGTGTACTTGCATAGTACTTTCCAAAACCTCAGAAGATTCTCCTGCACATCTGCTAATGTGGTATACTGCATCCGCTGTTCCCGTTGTGGCCTCCTTTACATCGGGGAAACCAAGCGGAGGCTCGGGGACTGCTTTGTAGAACACCTACGCTCGGTTCGCAACAAACAACTGCACCTCCCAGTCGCGAAACATTTCAACTCCCCCTCCCATTCCTCAGATGACATGTCCATCCTGGGCCTCCTGCAGTGCCACAACGATGCCACCCGAAGGTTGCAGGAACAGCAACTCATATTGCGCTTGGGAACCCTGCAGCCCAATTGTATCAATGTGGATTTCACAAGCTTCAAAATCTCCCCTCCCCCTACCGCATCGCAAAACCAGTCCAGCTCGTCCCCGCCTCCCTAACCTGTTCTTCCTCCCACCTATCCCCTCCTCCCACCTCAAGCCGCACCCCCACCTCCTACCTACTAACCTCATCCCACCCTTTTGACCTGTCCGTCCTCCCTGGACTGACCTATCCCCTTCCTAACTCCCCACCTACACTCACCTTTACTGGCTCCATCTTCGCCTCTTTGACCTGTCTGTTTCCTCTCCACCTATCCTCTCCTCTATCCATCTTCTATCCGCCTCCCCCTCTCTCCCTATTTATTTCAGAACCCCCTTCCCCTCCCCCTTTTCTGATGAAGGGTCTCGGCCCGAAACGTCAGCCTTTCTGCTCCTATGATGCTGCTTGGCCTGCTGCGTTCATCCAGCTCTGCACTTTGTTGTGTCGAAGATTCTAAAGTGCTTTGCAGTCAATTCAAAGTATTTCTGAATTGTAGTCACAGCTTTAATATGACAGCTAATTTGTACACAGCGAACTCCACACACAGCAATTTGATAATGACCAGTTAATTGCTGTGATAGTGTTGTTTTTGGAATAAATATGCCAACCATTAAGGAAGACTCTCTTTCATTTCTACTCACGTGCAATCTTACACCAGTTTGAGGCTGCGCTGGTATCTGTTATAATCTTTAATCCAAAAAATAACACTGTAAATATTGTGACACTCCATTGATATGGCATTGCTGTGTCAGGTTGGATTTTGTGCTCAAGTTTCCGAAGTAAACTGCAGACACATAATCTACTGACTCACGAGAAGAATTCTATCACTGACCCACGGCTCACAACTAAGAAGCATTTTAATGACACAGCAAATGGTGCAGGCGAGTGGTATCTAGTTTAAGAAGGAGATTATAACACAGTGATCATGTCACTGGACTAATAATCCACAGATTAGGTTCATTTTCTGGTTCACCTTCCGCCATCTCAACTGGTGGAATTTAAATTTAACGAGTAAATTGTGGAATTGAAAGCTAGCCTCAGTAATGGTGACCGCTAAACTATTATCAGTTGCCGTGAAATCCTGTCCCGTGTGAAATTCAATTAATTAATAAATCGCGGAAGTGAAAGGTAGCCTCATTAATAGTGACCATGAAACCTATTGATTGCCATAAAATCCCATCTCTTTCATCAATGTTCTTCAGGGAAGGAACTCTGTCATTTTTTTTTGATCTGCCCTACATGGGTGGCACAGTGACTCAGCAGATAGCACTGCTGCCTCACAGCGCCAGGGACCCGGGTTCGATTCCAGCCTCGGGTGACTGTCTGTGTGGAGTTTGCACATTCTCCCCTTGTCTGCGTGGGTTTCCTCCGGGTGCTCCGGTTTCCTCCCACAGTCCAAAGATGTGCAGGCTAGGTGGATTGGCTGTGCTAAATTGCCCGCAGTGTTCAGGGATGTGTAGATTAGGTGGGGTGGGATGCTCTGATGGTTGGTGTGGACTTTTTGGGCCAAAGAGCCTGTTTCCATACTGCAGGGATTCTATGATCTATTCTATAAGAGTCCAGACCCACTGCAAAGTGGTTGATTCTGAAATGGCCTCGTAAACCACTGAATTCAGAGGCAACTAGGCATGGGTGCTGTCTCTGACAGTGGTACCCACATCTTATGAAGGAAGAGGAAGAAATGCTTTCAAATCTAGTGTCTACCCATTATTTCAGTTCAGCGCTGAGGTCCAATTGTTACCTTGACAGGAAGGCATCTCTTTCAGCTGATTGTTATCTGCAGTCTGTTTGTCACAAATGTAACCACTAGCCATAACCGAGGCTAGGGCGTTATCGTGAACTTCCATCGATAGCCCCAAAATGCGGTGACTGTCACGACTCATCAAAACCGGGAGAAACACAACATCGACTGCTACCTGGTGATTGACACCTGTACCAAAACAACAATTCGTCCTTCAGAACAGATAAGACAATCTGGTCATTTCTTGAAATTATAATACACTGATACATCAGTCTATTAGCCGCACACCTTGCACCAACTGAGGAAGACTTTGGATACAGTGAATAAGCAAAAGTAACATCTAGAAAAAGGACTATTTCAATATCTGGCGCTGAAATCCTGCTGAATTCCTGTGTATAATAGCATAAGCATGCATTTCTCTCTGCCATATTAGCAGGGACGCTAGCTCACTGAAATTTACTTCTGGCTTGTCATTGGTTGCAAGTTTAACAAGTTCAGTTTTCCCTCTGTGAATTTAATGTGAAATGAGAATAGAAGCAAGGGTACTTGACAAAATGTATCTGACTTTCCCCCCCAATGGTGTCATGAGCAGTAAGTCTCGGACTCACATGTGAACTGTTGTTGCTGGAGCGTGATCTGCTATATTTGCTGCCTGAAGACTGGATGTTCTGAAAGACTTTGTACTTGAGGAAGCTGCACAAATAGTAATGTGGCCATGGCTGGAGAATCAGTTCCATTGGTGTTTGTTTAGGGAACAAATGCTGGCCAGGACCAGGGATAACTTCCTTGCAGTCCCTCTGAGGGAATAGATGGGTTTAGGGGAGGAGTGGGGGGGTGGGGTGGTGATGAAATGTCTGGGTTAAATATCTTTACTTCCTACATTTAGTTGCAACTTGTCACTGTTTCTGTTTCATATCAGTGACCAGGTCATCTTTTTTCAAAGGTATTACTTGAGGTATAAATATTGGCCAGGACAAGTGAGATAATTCCAAGATAACACAGTGTGGAACTGGAGGAACACAGCAGGCCAGGCAACATCAGAGGAGCAGGAAAGCTGACGTTGAGGACCAGGACCCTTCTTCAGATTCATCAGCTTTCTTGCTCCTCTGATGCTGCCTGGCCTGCTGTGTTCCTCCAGCTCCTCACTGTGTTATCTCGGACTCCAGCATCTGCAGTTCTTACTATCTCCGTGAGATAACTCCAATCCTCTTTTTCAAAATGGGACCACTTTTTTCACTTTAGGACAAACAGGTCATTGGTTTAACCTCTCATTTAAAAGGTGGTACCTCTCTGATAGTGCAGCACTCCCTCAGTACAATGTCAGCCTCTGGCCCTTGTAGTGGGGCTTGAAACACACACTGTTACTGTGACAGATATATGGATAGACAGGGAATAGAGGGATATGGACAGCGTAGAAGCAAAAGGATTTTATTTCAGAAAGGTGTCACGTGTCAGTGCTGTGTCAGTGGGCCGAAGGGCCTGTTCCTGTGCTGTACAGTTCTATGTACTACAATGTGACCCAGAGATGACAATGAACCAAGCCTTAGACCACATACAGTATCACAATGCACTCAATGTACACAATTCAATCTTTTAATCTGTGTTGTCTGTACATACCAACTATCGTCACGGTGTAGTAGTCATGGCAACAGGCAGATGCAAAGCTCTGAAGCTCCATCTTGGAGACTGCTGGAACTGGGCTGCACACTGCAGCCTGAAGGTTATGCTGCTGCATTAGGAAATCTCGATGTTTGTAGACAAATCTTTGTGGAATGCTCTCGGAAAGAAGCTGGCCAAAATGCAAGTGCTCTGACAGGTGTTCTCTGATTTCTGACCAGGTAGGGCTTTTCCATGTATATTTTGAGTTGCCATCAGTTGAATTCCCTGCATTACACCTTCCATGATCATCTGAATCAAAAATAAATTCTTTAGAAACAGATCTTTCACAAGGATGACAATTATTTTCAATCATGATTGAATCACCATACAAAGGCCCTACATATAGATACAGAATATGACCAGAACAATGTCAGGGTCTGTCAAGATACCACAATAATCACGGGACAGGTTCCAAGTTATAAAGAGGAACTGGGGCCTTTAGGACTATATTCACTGGAGTTTAGAAGACTGGAGTGGGGGAATCTCTCAGAAACCCATAAAATTGTAACACAGGACTGGATAAGGTAAATGCAGGAAACCAGGGATCACAAACTAAGGATATGGGGTAGGCCATTTAGGACTGAGATGAGGAGAAATTTTTTCACCAAGAGAATGGAATTCTCTGTCACAGAAAGTGGTTGAGACCAAGGCATTGAATATTTTCAAGGAGTCAGACATTGTCATAGAGCTGTACAGCACAGAAACACTCCCTCCAATCCAACTCATCCATGCTGACGAGATATCCTCAATTAATCTAGTCCCCTTTGCCAGCATTTGGCCCATTTGAAAACCCTTTGTTTTCACATATCCATCCACATGCCTTTTAAATGTTGTAATTGTAACAGCTTCCCCCACTTCCTCTGGTAGCTCATTCCATACACGAACTACCCTCTGCATGAATAAATTCCCCTTTAAGTCCCTTTTGAATCTTTCTGCTCTGATCTTAACCCTATGCCGTCTAGTTTTGGACTCCCTACTCTGGAGAAAAAACCTTGGCTATTTACCCTATACATGCCCTTCATGATTTCATAAACTTCTACAATGTCAACCCTTCAGCCTCTGACGCGCCAGGGAAAATAGTTCTAGCCTATTCAGCTGCTCCCTACAGCTTAAGCCCCCCCAACCCTGGCAACATCTTTGTTCTTAGGGTAAAAGTACGGGTACGGGTAGAAAGCGAGAACAGGGGATTAAGTTGGATGATCAGCCATCATCATATTGATTGGTGCAGCAGGCTCAAAGGGCCGATTGGCCTATGCCTGCTCCTATTTTCTATGTTTCCACTCACAATGCCACAAAAAACATTCAGTGCTTGGTGCTACCTGAAGGTATCAACTGCTTGTTTCCTGCTAACCTTGACTGACCTTTCATCTGTGTTGTGCAACCCCATTTGTTCACCAAGCAGAAATAGAATAATAATAAAAAATGAAGAATGAGCTTTAAAGATTTTCCTGAAGTGCAAACTTTTTCATCAGTTGCTGAGCTGATCAACCTAATTCTTGTGGAAAAAGATACAAGATGGAATGGGGACAATTCAACTCGGCATGTCTGCACTGCTTCTCTGAGGAAGCAATATACCTAGTTTATTCTTTCACTTGCTGGGCCATTTCTGAGGGAAGTCAAGAGTCAACCACATTGCTGTGGGTTGGGAGTCCCATGTAGGTGAGACCAGCTAAGGACGACAGATTTCCTTCCCCTACAGGGCGTTAGTGAACAACAAGTTGTTTACACAATGATCGACGTGGCCCAGTGGCTCAATTGTGGCCTCAGAGCGACAGGGACCTGGGTTCGATTCCACCCTCGGGCGACTGTCTGTGTGGAGTTTGCATGCTCTCCCCGTGCGTGTGTAGGTTTGCTCTGGTTTCCTCCCACAGTCCAAAAATGTGCAGGTTAGGTAGATTGGCCGTGCTACATTGTTCAATCGTGTCCAAGGATATGCAGGCTAGGTGGGTTAGACATGGGAAATGCAGGGTTACAGGGAGAGGGCAAGTCTGGGTGGGATTCTCTTCAGAGGGTAGGTGTGGACTTGATGGGCCAGGTGGCTTGCATCCACACTGTAGGGATTCTATGATGGTAAGTTCTTGGTCATCATCATTGAGACTAGCTTTCAATTCCAGAATCCGTATCCACTCCCACACTGCCAAGCATTAGCCTGGATTACATTATCACTACGTCACTGTCTCCTGCCATAACACTCTTTCTTCCTTCTCTTGAGAGCTTGTACCCAGCTAAATTGTATTCCAAATTAAACAGAAACGGAATCGAATGTCATCTGTTGACATAGAGCTTTAGCAAGATCCCAAAGTTCTCTATAGCCAATGAAGTACTTTTGAAGGTGGGAGATATTGTCAACATTTGCCTTTAATAAGGACCCCTGAGGTCCATGCATGACAGCAGCTTCTGGAAGAGGAAGCCAATGAAACCTCCAAATGGTTGGGGAGGTTGTGAAAGGAGCTATATAAATGCACATACTTTTTTTTAAACCGAGACACAGCAGGGAGGTAAGATGCTCGAACAAAAGGTTTCCATATATATCCTATGTGAATGGGATCTACCCAACAGCGGATTAGCTCCGTACTGAATCTGAAGCCCCGGCAACTGACCAATCTAAGTGCTTTCATGTCAAACAGGCCGATCTGACAAAGAGAATGTTTTAGTTGAGCTTGGAGTGGTTGAAGACAATAATTCCATACCTTTGTCAGGTGGCACAGGCAGTTCTGCACCGGGGGAAAATCCTTTGGTGCTCGCTGCTACATCAGCATCTTGCACAGCAGCTGGCCTGTCAAACAGAACACCACACAAAACTAAGTTACAGCGGGCAAGGAGAGTCGCCACACCACACATCAATCCCACCCTATATATCTGTGTCAGCATTGGCACACTGGTTAGCACACCTACCACCAAAACCTGCCTGTCACCTTCACTGCTAGAGACACAACTTGAACAAAAGTACAAACTTGAATTTATGTAGTGCCTGTTGTAATTTCAGGATGTCACAAGGCGATTCATGACCAACCATGTAGGGGTTGCCCTATTAGGACAGAGGATGAAGGGAGATAGTAGGAACTGCAGATGCTGGAGAATCTGAGATAACAAGGTGTAGAGCTGGATGAACACTTCAGGCCAAGCAGCATCAGAGGAGCAGGAAGGCTGACGTTTTGGGCCTAGACCCTTCTTCAGAAATTTCTGAAGAAAAGGCCCGAAAGGGAATTTTTTTTCCCTTTTAGAGGATTGTGCAACTTTGGAACACTTTGTGTCAGGAGGTATTGGAGTCAGGTCACTGAATATTTTTAAGGATGACAGAGGTGGATTCTTTTTAGGGCAGGCAGAGTCAAAGGTTTTTGGGCCCGGGTAAGGATGTGGAATTGGGAACACGAGCAGAACAGCAATGACCTTATGAATAACACAGCCTTCTTCAAAGGTAAATATCCTACTTCTGCCACAGATTCATATGTAAACCAAAGTAAAGGTCTTAGGCACTGGGACACATAATTTGGGAAGGCGATAGACGAGCACGGTTGTCACTGGGCTACTAGTCCAGAGACCCAGGTAATGTTCCGGGAACCCGGATCCAAATCCCAACACAGCAGATGGTGGAATTTGAATTCAATAAAAACACAAAATCTGGAATTAAGAGTCTAGTGATGACTGTTGTCGATTGTCAGGAAAACCCCATCTGGCTCACTAATGTCCTTTGGCGAAGAAAACTGTCATCATTTACCTAGACTGGCCTACACGTGACTCCAGACCCATTGCAATGTGATTGGCTCATAATTGCCCTTTGGGCAAATAGGGACAGGCAATAAATGATGGCCTAGTCAGTGACACCCCAGTCTCAAGAATGAATAAAAAAATTAAAATTTACCCTGATATTACCTACTGTGGCTGTATCTTTAATTCTCCTTTATAATCAGATATTAGGCATCTTAGACAACATATATATTAAAGGGGCTATATAAATGTAAGTTGCTGCTACTGACAGAAAGGTGAGGCCTTCTCCCACCAAGATAATGCTGTGCTGTTTTCCAGGTAACTGAGGCCCTTTATGCAACATCAATTGGATGCTTTTCAAAGCAGAGTATGGGTCTCCTCCTGGCAAATATCTATCACAAAAATAGATCACCTGGCTATTTCGTTCCCTTCTGTTCACACATTAGTTTGGCATTTGTGCCTACATTCCAAGAGTTGCTACATTAAAACAACTTCATTTCTTTTTTCTTTTTAAAAAGTTTTTCTTTTTACCTTTTATGAAAATAATCGATTGATAGCAAACCACCTGGTGACATCCTGAAATCATGCCAGATGCTACATAGAAGCAAGTTTGCACGTTCTTTAAAGTTTATATTTGTCAGTCAAGCCACTTGCAGCTGGTGGACCAATTATTTCTTATTCACTTATAGGAGCAAGGCATCACTGGAAGTGCCAGCATTTATTGCCCGTCCCTAGTTGCCCTCGAGAAGGTGGTGGTGAGCTGCCTTCTTGAACCACTGTAGTCCATGTGCTCAGGTAAACCCATAATGCCCTGAGGGAGGGAATTCCAGGATTTTGACCCAATGACAGTGAAGGAAGGGCGATTTAATTCCAAGTCATGATGGTGCATGGCTCGGAGGGGAGCTTGCAGGTGCTGGAGCTCCCAAGTATCCTATTGGCTTCACAGAAGCTTCAGAGTCAGATCATGGGCCATTTTCTATTGACAATGTAATGCAGGCACTGCTGCAATGCAGTACATTGTGTTTGTCGGATGTGCTGTCTTGTGATTGACACTAAACTGAGATGTTCCCACTTTCCCTCCCAAAACTCCACTTTGCTTCCCAATGTGCAAAAAAATGGCTGCCATTTTTGGGAACACTTTGGTGTATGGCTTGGAGGGGAACTTGCAGGTGGATGGTGTTTCTATTCTAGTGTGTCTTTGTAGAGGGGAGAGTTCACGGGTTGGGCAGGTTGCTGCAGTGCGTCTTGTAGATGGTACACACGGCATCCACTGTGCCATTGTGGTGAAGGGAGTGAATGTCGAAGGTGGTGGATAGGGTGACAATCTAGTGGGCTGCTTTCTCCTGCATGGTGTTGAGTATATTGATCTGGTATGATTTGATTTTTTATTGTCACTTGTACTCGAGTACAAAAGTACAGGAGTGCAATGGAAAATGTATCACGTCACCACACAAGGCACCACCTTAGGTACAAAGTAACAAGGTACAGAATCTTAAGAGCACGGTAAAAGAAAGCACAAACGTAACAGTTAAACATTGCAGTAATTACAGTGTAGCATAAAACATACGAAATAAGGTTAAAAGTTACACATTGCAGACCTTTTTAGTTTCAAGTCAAAAATAAAGAAAGCAAGCTGAAAGTTCAAACATGACAGTCTTTCTTTAGTGCTTAGCCAAGGTAGAACCACACTTCGAGGAATCACCTCGAGACCACAAGTCCACGTTGAGGTCACGCTGGGCTGAAAGACCGCCACGTATCGCTGAAAGACCACCATGCCGGGCCGATAGTCTGCCATTGGAGTTGCATCCAACCAGCAAAGTGGGGAGTGTTCCATCACACTCCTGACTTGTGCCTTGTAGATGGTGGGCAGGCTTTGGGGAGACAGGGGGTGAGTTAATCACAGTAGGATTTTCTGTCTGATCTGCTCTTGGTCCAGTTGTTTCTTTTTTCAAAATACAGTAGCAAGGGGTGGTGGCAACATAGTGGCTATGTCACTAATTCAGATCAGTAATCCAGAGGAACAGTCTTATATTCTGGGTATGTATGTTCAAACTCCACCATGGTAGCTGGTGGCATTTCGATTTAATGAATAAATCAGGAATTGAAAGCCAATCTCATCAATGATCATCATAAAAATCCCTGTGGTTCACTAACACCATTCAGGGAAGGAAATCTGCCGTCCTTACCTAGGCTGGCCCACATGTAAATCCAGACTCACAGCAATATGATTAACTCTGAACTACTCTCTGAAAGAAGGGAGCAAGCCATTCAACTCAAAAGACAATTAGAAATGGGTAAGATTATCCTGTAAGAATTAACAAAGTTTGCCTGTCTGGTACGAACAAATTTAACATGAATTGGATAGATACTTTGAAAAGGAAACAAATGCCAGGGATATGGGGAAAGACGAGGGGAGTGGGAACTAATTTGATCTTTCATTCAAAAGAGCTTGCAGCAGTATAATGGGCCGCATGGCTTAATTCTTTGCTGTATGGTTCAATGCCAATTATACTTGTTCCAAGTGTTAAAAAAAATGCAAGTCACTCGCAGGATAGGCTATCTTGACTTGGAAGCCCAATTGAATGTTAGGAAGCAATGCCAGTATTATATCTGTCTGGAGTCAATCATCATAACAAGCGGTCTGCAGCTCTCTAAACAAGATGTACAGAAAAATTCCATGTATGAGCTATATTCCTTACAGAGCTTCAGATCCTTAACAAAGTATGTAAATGGTGAAATCTACGTGTACTCCAATACCTGTAAAACAGGAATGGTGAACTGGCTTATCACTTTGATATAATTTTAATTCAACATTTCTTCATTTAATATCCCAGCCACTATTCCCTGCTCGCGGTTGCTTGTCTACATATGCTTCTAAATTTTTTAAAAACTGAAAGAACTAGGGTTGCTGTAAATCAGAGACAAAATTATAAATTGCTGGAAAAGCTCAGCAGGTCTGGCAGCATCTGTGGAGAGAAATCAGAGTTAACGCTTCATGTCACTCGACCTCCAGACCTGCTGAGCTGTTCCAGCAAATTCTACTTCTACATTTTTAACCTGATTGCTTTGTCTATATGCTAATTTTTCTAGGGTTGGTCACACTGCAATTCACATGTGAACGTGTTGTACTTGAGTAAAGTACAATTATTATTATGAAGCATTAGCAAGAATATGAAGTACAAGTGCCACATTTCAGCCCTGTTTTATCACAAGTCCTTGCATTTTGAACATATAAAGATGTGGCTCCCTTTTATAATGCACTTAAAAAGTGTGTGTCCTAAATCACAAAGGTCATCAGATAAACCAAATGAGCAATCCATTCACAGACTGCACGATATAAAACCTCAGAAGAAATTAAGTTCCTTGACAAGGGGCAGAGAATTATCAAAAGCTTTCTCGTCTTTTCTGTTTGGCAATTCTCTTTTTAATAGTTTGCAGTAGATTGAGTGATGTGGATTAGTACAACATTCAGTGCCTGGGCCAAGCTGACCTGAGAGAGTATTAAAATCAATCACAGAAAATAGCTCACAGGCTGGAAATCTGACATAAGAACAGAAAGTTCTAGAAAATAATCAGTAGCATCTGCAGAGAGAAGTGGAGTTAATGATTCAGGTAAAATATGACTTTTTTTTGGAACTAGAGAGAGAGAAATGCCATAAAAACAGAAAGAGCTGAAGAAACTCAGCAGGTCTGGCAGCATCTGTGGAGAGAGAAACAGAGTTAATGTTTTGAGTCCAGTATGACTTTACAGAATTGGATGTTTTAGACTCCATTTTTTGTTGTCTCTCCACAGAGGCTGCCAGACTTGCTGAGTTTCTCCACCACTTTCTACTTTCATTTCAGATGTCCACCACCTGCAAATTTGGCTTTTACAGAGAGAGAAATGTGCCAGGTTTTACGTTGTTGAAGACGCCGGGATGGAGAGGAAGGACAAAGAGGTCAGGGATAGGGGAGCAGGTGGGAGAGATTAAATGGCAAAAATCCCATGGAATAGAGGGCAAAACGAGTGGCACGCTCCGTTCACTCAGTTTCTCTCTTTCCACCCGGATTCCTCCTCATCTGCTGGCT